AGATTTCTTGCAGGAATGCTGTGTGATTTCTCCTCTCTCTCCTTGCAAGATGCAGTGGTGTTGTTGGGGAATCAAATACCATTGCAGAGCTCATACATTCATATAAGCTGCCTTTGCATGGGCAGTATGCTGCTGAGGCTTCAATGCAAAGTAGAGAGTGAGATAGGTAAGCATGTCTTGAGCTAAGACATAGATGGTTTATTATCAGGCTCCATCTTTAAGTTGCTTTCTAGTGAAAGCTATTAAGAGAACTTATGTTCTGCTTGGAATGAGATCGTGGGCTACAGGTTTAGTTTTATTCTGTGTCAAATCTAGTTTGACTTTTTAATTCTCTTTTGACATCTTCGGTCTTCCCATTCCACAGCCATTGACTCTATCCATACTTATTTTTTGTCGTTTGTTTGTTTCAAGTAAATAACATAAGAAGTAGGATTCCAATGTCTGTGATAACAAAGGGGCTGGCTCGTTGTTCAGTTTTTCCTTGGTCTGCTGAAACAGTGGAATATTAAACTTCAACAATCCAGTGAGATATGGTATCTCTTCATCTTTGTACTGATGAAATTGCATTTAGGATAGATGTTTTTTTCAAAAAGTTGTTTTGATTTTACATTTTATAAACAGGATTTGTCATCAAATTGTTTCAGAAGAAATATTTTGCAGAATGGAATTTGTCTCAGATGAGCATGCACTGAAAGAAGTTAAAGGTTTAAAATGCAGTCAGAGTACTCTGCTGGCCTAGTTCTGCACCTGGATATTATGTCACTTTTTCTGGCCCTGAGTGCACCCATCTGCTGTCTACCTTAATGGCCCTGACCAGCCTCACCTGGTGCTTCCACCCCACCCTCTGCCCACAGGTCTGGGACCTCCCTTTCGGATCAGCCCCGGGGCTGTCAGTCTCTGCCTGGGCTATGGGTGACCTCCAGCCCTCTCCTGGCCCCCAGCCAGGGCTCCCTGCGTGGCTTCTGGACCTGGTTGAACGCCGGCCATGCCTGGAGCTGCCGATGGACCCATTTGTAGCACCCAGCTCTGCTCCTCCGGCTCGTCCTCTGCGGGACTGCGCTGCGGTGGGGGAGGACCCTGTCCTGCCGGGGTCACCCTGGGCTCCCAGCTCGTCCCCCCTTGCGGGGCAGCCCCTGCTCCTGCAGTTCCCTGGCAAGGCCTGTGCTGTTGTACAGCACTGTCCTCGGCACACTCCCATTTAAGCATTACAAAAGTCTTAGTCTCTCAAACTGTTACTTTCTGAGATACTTGAGAGTTTTAGTGCCATGTTTTTGTTTTTCAGAGGGACCCTATTTCAACTTAAGATTTTGTAGTTTCATTTTTGAATTGATATTCATATCAGATATTAGTGATGGCTCACTTATAGATGAGTGATTAGGTAGACAAGTAAATGTTTTGTGCTTCTGCAAAGGCGCTTTTTTTTTCTTTTTGGTGACTTTGGTTTCTGGGAAGTATTTGAGGGACATTAGGTTTTTCTGTTTTGTATGCCTACAAAGTATGTACTCTAAACAAATGGAATTTCTATTTAACAGAATGTTTAAATTCTCAAGCATATGCTCTGATTAAAAACTTTTTTTAATTCAGCATGCTTGATAGAGTATGCTTAATTCACAGAGAACAATTGATACCCAAATCTGAAGTATGGGGTGGGGGGAGGGGAAGAAAGACTCCAAAATAATCAAAATGCGGAACAGAAAGAGAAGAGGAAAAATACCCAAAGTTTAAAGAGCTCTGTCTAGTTACTTTTCAGAAAAATAAATCCTTAAATAGAAGATGTCAGTTTAAAAGTTGTCATCTCTTTCATAGCTAAAATATTCTTAAAATAAATCCTTTTTAAAAAATAGAATAAATTCATGGTTATCTGATGAGCTGTTTATAGACTTGCTTTAGTTTTACTGTTTTTGTGTTGTTTTAAGCGAAAGTGTGAGTTTGAGGAGGGGACTGTTGTGAACACCTGCATAGCTGGGTTAGCTTGGTTAGGGACATGGCTGCTCCTTGGCAACCCTTTAACCAGGAAAGGATATCCTGTCATGGAATAATCCTTCATTTGGAAGACCAAAACCCTTCTATCTATCATTGTCATCTTCTTTTTTCAGTTCTCTGCAACATAACTGTGAATAAAAATGGGTGCTCCTGATGCTTTTGAGACTATACAAACATAAAGAACCTTGTTTGGTTGAAGAACCTGTAAGTGATCAGGGCCTGTGAGATCTTATTTAGATATCACTCTTAAGTGTAGGCTCAAAAGAAAACCCAAGTGCGAAGTTGGTCAAACATCGAGAAGATGTGTAAACAGACAAGTTAGACATGTGCCTTGAATTGAGAATTAATAGTTGTTACAGGCTGGGCCAATCTGAGCTGTTTTAATTGGTCCCAGCCTTGCCATCCCAATTCATTCTTTAACTGGAAAGTAATTCAAGTGTGATATTTTACATGAAAGAGCTGTCATCAGGTATTCATGTATATTTAAGTGAAATGAAAAAGTAACCCAAACTGTATTACACAAAGTGCATCCGTTAACGCATTTATATGTCTGTGTCTTTAGAAGACGGTGCTGGCTGATTGCCTTTGGCAGAATTGAGAGAAAGCTCCCATTGCTTTACTTATTTTTGAAAAGTGGGGCAAATACTGGCCTTGTTTACCTGAGCATATGATACAATTTACCGAGAAATGCATTTGCAATTCATGTCGACATTTCTGTTGTGCAGGAATTGGTGTGTTTATTGCAGAATAACGTGTTTGCACACATCTTCCAGGATGGCTTATCCTGCAATAGCTTTAGTGTTTAATGTGCCTGATCAGCAAGGCCAATCAGTTGGGTTTCTTTACTAACATTGATTTCATCTTTAGGCTACTACTAAGTACACAATTACTGTACAGAGGATGGCTCATGTTCTGCAAGGAAATGTGTGCAACTAACCGTAATGAAAGATAAGTGGAGTTTTTTCTTTAAAATGAATTGGCTAGCCAAAACCGTGCATGTGTCTGACGAATAATCTTCAAAGGCAGAGACTGAACAAAAATGCTGTTCTTGATAAGATGTAGTCCTCCACACCCTTCCTTCTCCATAATTTCCTTCCATTCTTCCCACTTTGCGGCTTCGTGCTGTAGTATCAGATAGGTTGGTCAGCAAGACAATTGCCAAATAGTTGGCTAGGGATGAAGGCAGTAGCCTGGACTCTGTTTTAGTACCTAGATCTGCTGCCATTCTCCCAAGTGATGTTGGACAAGGTAGCTAATGATTCTTTCAGTTCCTCTTCTGCAAGTCACGGGTAGGGGGGACCCCTGCCTCGTTAGATTGTTGTGAGGATGTATTCATGTGTCTTTGATGGCTTCTGATGTTACAGTGATACAAGGTATAACAGCGCTCTCATGCAATCATGTGAAAATAATATATTATGTCTATACCCATGAAAGTTAGAAATGGGAGATTAAACTACAGTAGCTGATTTGATAGGTTTGTTTGCACTTCAGTGAAATAGCACGTGCCCCTTTGCAAAGCCTCCAGGCTTTTCTCTGGTGAAGCTAGTAGACTCCCAGGGTAGTCACCCACCTAACCAGTGAGAGGTTGCTTGTGGTTTTCTGTTTGTGTGTGGGTTTTTTTTTGTTTTGTGTTGCTTTAGCCCCCTAATAAATGCCAGGATATACTGGCTTTGGAAAATACACTTAATCACATGTGTGATAGTCATGTTTCTAGGGTAGTGATAATCACTGTAGTCAGTCGGGCTGCTTTTAATAATGTCCATATCAACTGCATTTAGTAAAAAGTGAAAATAACTGATTCATGCAGTTCTATGCCAAATGATACATGTGAGCAATGTACTATCTGTTTGAATTGTCACATTCAGCTAAATGATGCATACTCTGCTGGCAATGCTTTCCACTGCTTCTCTTAAGAAGCAAGGAAATGGGAGCTAGTTTTTGTTTGCAGTACAGTTTAAGCGAAATGAACTTTTAAATGCCAGAGGTAGTGTCCCTCCATCTCTTTCTTCAGAGTATTCAAAACAAGATCAGGAAGGCTTGGGAGCAAATAATTTGCTTTTTATTTAATTCCCCTCTGCACACGGACAGTGACATTTTAAAGCTGGTTATACCAGTGCAAATGCTTTGTTTTGGTTTAGCTTGAACCTACTCCTAATTAAACTCTTTTTTTTTTTTTTTTAAAAGTAGTGTATCTTGCAGATGACAATCATAGCTTCTTAAATGTCATTATTTCTGTATCTCTAGTTCTCCCGTCTACTTTGTATTTTGGCTTAATGGTTGCATGTGTCCCTGATAAATTTTAGGACTAGTAATTAGAAACAATACCTAGAATATGTGTTCTCCTCCCATGCGCTGTTATCCTGGTCTCTCACAGCTATGTTCGTGTAGTTACTCATTCTACCTGAAAGGGTGAAATGCAGAATTGCTTTGGATCTGGAAGGAGCAAAATGTCAGGGATTGCCTCAGAGGAGCCTTCTCTGAAATGGCTGGGATGTTTCTTGCCTTTCACATGCATACTTCAGGTTTGATTTTTTTCAGAGGTGCTGAGCGCCTGCATTTCCTGCTGACTGCAGTCAGCCTTTCTTCTTTCAAAATCACACCTCTTTTAAATGCCTCTATTCCTTAGCTTTTTAAGCTAGCTTTCAAGGCTGGCCTGAGGGCACCAAAATTTAACTTGAAGATTATATTATAGACCCCTGTGGTGGGGGTAATGGTGGGAGAGTTAGCACCTCTGGATGTGTGCCCTGTAGAGTTGCTGTTTGTACTGAGCTTCTCAAAGAACGGCTTTGCAATTAAAGCCATGCTTTAAATTCAGCGCCAAAATAGAGTTTTGAAAGATTCCTTGTATAAGGTGTTCTTTTGGGAGATGTAGTAAGTGCCTGGCAATCCTGTGTGTGGAGGTGTTTATTTTATGGTTTTAAATGTGATTCTTTTTCTTTTAGCTTTTTTCTTCTCCACTGATCTTTAGGAACATCTTATTTCACACTTAATTCTATTTATTGGTATGTATTTTGCAGAAATCCCTTGAAGCTCACCCTGGGAATGGACAGCTACCTCCATTTCTGGAGGAGAGTAGTGCCAATTGAAGAGGCCTTCAAGGCAAGTCAACAAGCGCTCTGATAACTCTCGGAAGAGAACAGGGAAGGGACGACCTTCCAGGCCACCAGCCATGCCTTTCGGGCTGAAACTGCGACGGACCAGACGTTACAACGTCTTGAGCAAGAACTGCTTTGTGACAAGGATCCGTCTGCTGGACAGCAATGTGATCGAGTGCACTCTCTCCGTGGAGAGCACGGGGCAGGAGTGCTTGGAAGCTGTTGCTCAGAGGCTGGAATTACGTGAGGTAAGAGTAACCTGGGGAAGACCATCTGTCACTGTATAATTTGACACGTTTTTAGCTCAGGCAGTCTGTTTGTTTGAATCATGTTGTTCTCAGGGCTGGCCAGATACGATCAGCATCTGGAGCCTGGACAAATGTAATCTGGTTGCATGAAAACTGAAGGCAGAAGGGCACTCAGGGTGTTGTTGCTGTTGCTCGTTCTTCTTAGATTTGTGAGCTGTTTGTAATACGAAGATGGGTTTTCTTCTTTTCTTGGAAAGTGATGGGTGTGACTTTCTGAACTGGTGGATGCCAAGTTACAGTAACTTTTATCTGAATGTGACCCTGGTTTCACCAACACTGCTGGTTGAATTATGCCAGTGGGAAGGAGACCACTGGCTTTTAAGTATGCGCCTTTGTATAAATATGTTCTTGTTGCTAACATATTGCAAGAGGCGATGGTGGTTTTGTTCTTCCTTTTGTTTAACTGAAATATTTCATATCTGAAACTCTGAAATGCTGCTTTTACATTCCCAGTGCTTCTGAAAAGGCTGAAGAAACCCAGTCTTATTTTATTAAAGACTTAAATCCTTTATTTTCCACTTGTTGCTGTAGAGTTCAGTGTTTAAGCGTTGAGGCCTTTTGAAATGAACTCTTCAACATGAATGGCACAAATGAACTGTCTTTTCTCACCTTCTGTGGACTTCTTACATGTATCCTGCATGTTTCTAGGCTTTTGCAAATCACACGTTGAAAACCATTGCCTGGAAATTGCTGCATTATCATCTCACTGTCCTGGCTGGTGCTTTCTGTAAGCACAGCTGGGAAATCTAATAACCTTGCAGTGTCTTACATTTGTAGGTCCACGGCCCTTTGTGTTGATGGCAACTGGAAGGTTAACGTACAAATAACTAGTGCAGATGAAAACTAAACAAAAACTCCTTTTTGTACATCAATAATGATAAAGAATGAGAGAAGAATTTCACTCTGTGTGCAGAATAGGCAGGAGAATATGCAGGCAGGAATAGAACAGAGAATCAGAATATTGCATTGTGATTTTTCATACTTGTTTGTTTGTTTTTTTAATTGGATTTTAGCAGAACCATCCTCCCCCTCCCCTTCTAGATACGAAGATTTCCCAGTAATTACTTTTCTTTCTTCTTTTTTCTTTCTGTTGGTGATACTTTAGGGTGTCCTTACAGAGAGGTTAGGTCCTTCCCTTTCCTTCCAGTGCAGAAAGGAGTGAAACGAATGAAGTGGTTCTCCTCGTATTCCCTGTGGGATTATCTAGTTGGTGCAGCAGAACTCTGGGACCCAATGATTCTCTGGAGGTCCACCTGCCTTTGCGAACAATAGCTCTGTCAGCAGGTTAGCATTCTTTTCCACAAAGCATTTTGTGATTTCAGAACGTGTTTTGTTCCACTTTGGAACAAAGCCTGAAGCTTCAGAATTTTCCGGAGGAGAGAGATTGGATAGAAGGGTAGCAGAGGAAGCTGTTTTGGTCAGTGTTCAATTTCATAGGGATTTTCTTTTGCTTTGAGTTTTTTCATTTTCAAAATTATTTGTCATGCAAAAAGAAATATGTCAGCACAAAAAGTTTGTGTTTCAAGATAAAAAAAGTATTTTAACAACACAGAAGAGAATGCTTTGATGTTGTTGGAACACTTTTTCCTTCTTTCATCACCCTCCCCACTTTTTTTCTAAACAAAGCTTTGGCAACGTTGAACCAATTTTGTGAAGTTCAGATTTCAACAGTACAGCATTTTTTGACAGAAGTTGGGTTTTTTTGTTTGTTTGTTTTAAATCTTTCTGACTGATCCTGGTAGCATCCATTGCAGCTTTAAATGTTTAGGAGAGAAGAGAATTACTAATTTCTTTCAACTCTGAGAGGGTCTCTGTGCATCCTCTCTTTTCATGAGGAATAATTGGAGCTAGCAGACTTGGAGGTGCCTGGTGATGGGTGCTGTCCTTTCCCTCAGACCCAAAATTCAATTCTTCTGCCCCTCTAGTCTTCCTGCTGTAGTTTGCAGTGAAACAAGGCTGATGTCATCTGGTGACTATCCCCTTCCCTCTCTAGGTTTACCATCATTTTTGAACTTGCTGGCCAATCAAATTCTACAGAAGGGTAAAAATACTTTGACAAAGCTCAGATTTCTACAAGATTAGTGCAACTGGCTATCTGAGTACAGGAGGGAAGCCCATTAAGTGTAGCGAAGAGAAAATCCTTGCAGTTGTCCATATTGGATAGAGACTTTTTAAATTCCCCAAATGCAGCAAAAACTTCAGCTGGAATATGCCTTTTCTAAGAAATCCTGATTAGCAAACTACGATATACGAGTAATGAAGAAACTAAGCTTCATTAAATCCCATGCTTACAAAACAGTACTAACACCCTGTTTGTCAGTCTCAGGTGAGAATGTGTGTTCTCTTAAAAGTAAAGATCAATTTTTGTTTGATACTGTAGTTTGGTTTTCTGTTTAAATAAATCCCAGGTGTACCCCAACTTTTACCTTCGTGTTAAGGATACATTCATATTTTACTCAAGCTGATTTCTTACAAATAAACAAAAAACTGTCTAAACCCCCCCTGCTAAAAAGTAAAACTGTTTGAGATTACTGTATGCACTGTTGTGACAGACTGTCGATCATTATACCACACGTGACTGAAAAACAGTATCTAATTGATTATGCATATTTCCATTTGATCTCTGGGGAATGCAGCTCCCTCCCTGACTGTATCAGGGTTCAGGAACAGGTCAGTAGAAAGTGTGGCCATGTAACTACTGTAAAATCTAGTTTTCTCCTTTTCGGCAAAGCTCTTGACAAAGCATCAGGTCTTCTAATTGTACAGTTAACCAATTTGAATAAAATGAGTTCTTATGCCAACGTTATGTAAAATAAAGACGAGAAGGGGGAAGGAAGTGAAAGAGAAGAAAGACAAGGTCAAAAATGTCATTTTGCAATCTTGTCTGTATGTGCATGGATTCTAAAAAGGATTTTTTTTTTCCCCAGTATGATGGCATTTTTCCCTTCAAGTGAGACTAAGTGAACCTGCTTGAAATAGCACAGTAACCTGTGCAAATCTGTCGTGAGACTTCATGTCTGTCTCTCCTTTTTCTTCTGCTTAATTCACTTTATAAAATGATTAAAAGTTTAAAGATAGAACATTCTGATGTATTGTAAGGTTGGGAGATGGGGTAAGGTGACAAGAAGGTCCCTTCCAACCAAAATTATTCTTTTAAGCTAAATTTCACAATAGTACCTCCAGCACTATGATGCTGCAAAACCCAAACAAGAGCAGGAGGATGGTGGGCCAAGCACCACAGGTGGACGATGATCAGTGTGCAGGGGTGGCTGTTTGCTGCTATTCTGACCTTTTTTGTGTGTCCTAGAAGGTGTCCCCTCCTTGTAGGACACAACTGAAAACCTGTGTTCGGCAGCCAGGTTGCCTCAAAGTTTGGCTTGATTTGACTTGTTCTGCCAGCAAAGCTGGGATGGGGTTGAGGCAGCACTTGGACAACAGACCTTCCAGGAATCACTGGCTGCTGTAGGTGGTGCCGTCCCCTCTGTGCGAGCGCCCCAGGATAGCAGGGTTTAATGCTTTTTGCCTGGAGGAGCTGGAACTCTGCCTCTTTCTCAAGGATAAATATTTAGTTGGCTGCTTAACCAGATGCTTTACTAAACACCAAGCTGGTCTCGCTGGATCCTTTTGAATGGGATTTGCTGGTTTAGTAAGTGTCTGTCATCTCCTGTTGTTGACAAGTCTACTCTTTTTGTCTGATATAAAGCCAGGGTTAGTTCTGCACTTGGGAGTATAGCTCAGTCCAGAATGAATGTGTTGCCTTCTGAACTGGCAGCTATAGTGTCATCTCTAAGACTTCTCAGCATAGGTTTTGTGTATCCAGTTTTCTTTTATGGCTCGCCATATTTTGAGGATCACCTTTTCATGTCATGTTGTTAGGGCATGCAGGTGCTCTGGTTCTTGTCCCCTGCTGCATCAGAGGACAGCAGTTCTTGGAAAAGTGTAAGCCAGTTTCATTGTACCACACATGAAGTCTTGCATGGTAGGTAAGACAGATTTAAAGCCTTGCGAAAAAATAAATGTAATCTATTTTCTAACAGAGCTCTTCTTGTATTTGCAGATTAGGCAGACCAAAAAGTGCTAGCAACTGAAGCTCATTGTCTGCAGAACGGATGTGTGTGCATACATTTAGCATTACGGAAAGTGTTCCTTTGGGGTGTATTGCCAGTCTGTCAACTGTGGCTGGAAGAAAGATTTTTGCTTTTTAAGAAGTGAAAGCATCCTTCACTTCCTTTGCCACTGACTGCTGATGTACCTGCTAGATCAGCCCATGTTACTTCAGAGCCTGCCAGGTGTAGGCGTAGATCTTTATTCCATGAAAACTGGAGTGAAGTCAGTGGTTCATTTTGTACAGATAGAGCAACAAACCAACTAGGTTGGAATCAACCTGGTTTTCAGCCAGCTGCTTATAGGGAAAAAGATCGCATTTTTATATCCCCTCATCTAATTTATGTCATGTCTGTATTGTAAAAATGTTTTGTGGCTGGAGTGTATGGCAATGCCTGACTTGGATTCTGTAATCCTGATCATTGCCTGGTCATAGCATGCTGAACTTGATGGTCCAGCCATTTCTAGTCCCACGTTCCTTTGTTCCTGTTCGGGAATTACTAATGTTCCTAGGGGAGAAAGTCTCTTCAGGCATTTGTGGTAGTGGCTACAGAAGTCCTTCCCCACTGTGGGTTGTTTAAAAAACTCTTAACATTTTCAAGAAGTGAAGTTCCTGTCAACAGGGAGCTGATATTCAGTTAACTGTGTTAGTTGTCTCTCTAAAGTGCATGCATTTGTGCCTTAAGCTCTGCTCTGCATTCACTGTGCTTCATCTGCAACTGCTCGATTCTCTCCAGGCTGCTTTCCAGGAAAATGGTCATCTTTTACTTGTGTGAAATGCATGCTGCCATGGTCAGTCCACCGTATCTGCTGTAGTATAGAAGCTTAAACACTGCATTCTCTTCACTTTTTATTCCTTGGAGGTGAATCAGGATTCTGGATTTGGTACTTGAAGAGCCTTCCTACTGTAGCAAATTAAATTTTTGTTGTCCCCCTGACCTCACTCAAAGGGGAGGAACTGTGTTCATTTAAGCTGTTTAATTGCAATACCCTTAACCCCTCTGATAACTCTTTTAGACTTCAGACTCCAAATCATTTTAGTTGCTGGATGTTTTACAGGTATTTGGCACTGCAAATTTGGGTCCTAGGTGTTGTGAATGTTTACTTTTTAAAGTAATATGGAAGATCTGTTTTCACAGCTCTGCACTGTTTCTTGCTGAGGATGAGCTGCCATTCAGTGATTTCTCAAGAGTTTGGATGCCCTTATGAGGTGGTAAAATCACTGTTGTTTTTTTTTTGCCTTCACATTAATTCCTTTCCTTTGCTGTCTCCACTGTCCCTCCCACCTTCATTTTAATCTAATTACTATCATGGTGAGCTCCTCAAAAAGAACTTTTTATTCAGTGATGACTACAGAGGGAGAATAGACATGCATCAGTGAACTGGTTAGTTTTGTTTTAAGTTTATCCTATGGGAGATCTTGACTTCTTGATTTATTTGTGCCCTGGATTGATTGATTTGATAAAGATACCTTTAAATTCTAAAAGGAAATGCTACATTGATTCTCTTCAGAAAAGAACTAGCTTGCTTCACTCTATCAAACTGAGCTTAAAGACAAAGGACTGAGCGGTGTTCAAGCTATACTGCAGGTTCGTCAGGCTTAATTGTGGAATCAAGTTGAATTAGTTAACACCTTAGTTAAATGCTAGCCTGGATGTTCTCCAAAGCTGAAAATATGTACATAATGAGACCCTAAAGTAAATACACCTGCACTCCAATTCAGAGTTTTTGCATATGATTCTCTCTTGCATGCCCTCAGCTATAAAATAATTGGAACAATGTTGCTTGTGCTGTCTACTTGTCATTTCTAAGCATTTTAATTTTTCAATATGGCATTAGTTGTTCTTGTGTTGAATGCTAAGTCATGGTACATGCAATGGTTTTTAGAGCTATAACAACAAAATAAGTAATTTATTTGTTCTAGGTTTAGTCTAATTTAATGGAAACTACTGGAAAGTTTTAATTGAATAGGGAGTCAGTTGGATTAAACACCAAGAAAGTTTACTGAAATAAAATGAGAGAAATAGGCAGAAATAGTAATGATTCTATTTTCAGATCCTAAATCTGCTTGGTGTCCACCAAAATTCCTCTCTAAGTTTCTGTTTCGTACATTCCAGTGTTAGTACAGCATGGTATTTCATATTGAAGGCATTGCTGGAAATTTCCAGATGCTGTCAGCTGAAATATTGAAGAAAAAGATGTTGATACAAACTTCACAGTTAGGGCTACAGTCAGATTTCCAAGCAGCTGATGGATTAGTTTTCCTTTGTTAAACATAAGTACTTGGTTTTTGTCTTGTCTTCAGATCTGTAGTCGTAGTGCTTGCTGTTATCATATGAATTCGCCTGCAGTAGTAGATCAGTGTGTTCAATACAGTGGTTTAAGGGCTTTTCAATAGAATCCTTCATGATGGATTGGCTACTCTTTCAGCTGCTTATTACCAGTTTGGACTGTCTGAAGCTCTAGTTCTGAACACTGTTCCTCATTAATTGCTCTCCACCAGCAGCAGTCCCATGAGGTTTATACAGGAGGTACTACAGCCATTGAGATTTACACAGGATAGGGAATAGCTGAGGTTTTCAACCTGATATTTCTGGAAGAGCACAAAGCAAACAACTTGTGTGTGAGATGCACATTTTAAGTGTAATACTTGTCCATCATAAAACCTTGTGAGTGCGTTAGGAAAAAAAAAAAAGGTGAATGTGTTCTGTACTAGGTAAATGGTTATGGTATTGGTAGGTATGTTTTGACATATGTGTGTGGTTTGCATTCTTTTTTATTGTTGGAAGAGTCCTTATCCTTTGCCTTCGGTGGGACTGATCCAAAGTCTAATGAAGCCTTGGTGCTTTGATTCAGACTTAGTGTTTGCTGTCTGTTCACAAGGCACAAGTGTAAAAGAAAACAAAGACACTTTCTGTAAATCATTTATGTCATCTGTGCCATAGTGTTAGGTACAGCTCTTTAATATGCATTCAGGGGAGATGGTAAGGGGCAGTTAGTACTCCAGTGAGTATATTATATTGCAATATTAATTTGTCATTGTCTTCAAGATTGTCCTAAAAAAAAAAAAAAGTAAAAAAGATTTTGCATATGGAAAATTTTACACCGTGCCATCTGTTCTTATTTGCATTTGTGTCATTGATTGTGTGTGTGATCTAGCTGAAAAAGGTAAACCGACACTGTTTTGTTTCTTTATCTAGACACACTACTTCGGCCTTTCGTTTCTCAGCAAGAGCCAGCAAGCCCGCTGGGTTGAACTGGAAAAGCCTCTGAAGAAGCAGCTGGACAAATTTGCCAATGAGCCTTTGCTTTTCTTTGGGGTAATGTTCTATGTGCCCAGTGTTTCCCGACTGCAGCAGGAGGTAACAAGGTATGTGGTTTCCCTCTGTTCACACTACTGTGGTATAGCTGGGAGGGAACGGGCACTTGCTCTGTTTCTGGCATTCAATATTTGCTCAGGTATCATCTGGTTCTTTCCATTCCTCATGATTGCCCAAATGGAAAAAGTGAGAGAAGTCACCACTTGATGATATCCATTGGAGGGGTCTGAGAAAGCAGAAATGGTGAATGATTATACATGACCAACTGCAGAAACAAAATGGGAGTAATAGATATATATATATAAAAACCTGACATAAATTTTAGAAGGGACCATGGTGACCATACTCTTTTCCTGTAACCTTCTACTGATTAAAAGGAAGCCATAGGCAAAGGATCTCTATATACAGTTTGAGTTTATTATTCTTATGTCTACCTGTACTTTGCTGAAAGTGAACTTTAGCATCTTTTCTGGGTTTTGCCCATCCCACTCCTGATTCTTCCCCTTACGCTTCACAAAAGGATTAAAATTGTTAGTCCTTTAATTATCATCAGGGTGCACCTTTGCAAACAACTTCAGTGGGAATTACTGTTTTATTCAGAGCCCTGTGCTGCAGTTGTAACAAAGCAACTGTTTTGAGGGGCTATTCTTGTAAACCACATCACTGTGTGGTTTTTGCACATCTGTGCTTTATTTAAATAAAAAAAAAAAAGAGAGCAGCAAAAGCCCACCTCACCCAAAAAGGGGTGGGCTTGTTTTCCTTTTAACCAAAATTATTTCATTTATCTGGTCTAGAGCAAAGTTGCATCAGCACAACTAGAGGTAAAACCTGGAATAAGTGGGTGAGGGCTACAGGATGGCAAAAGCTGACAAAAAAGTTCTGTTGCTGCAAATCTGGAATTCACAACCTGGTTATCATGTCTAGAAAAGATGTATAAATAATGGAGAAAGAAAGGCTTTAATTCTAGGAGGTGTGCAATGTATGAAGCATTTTTTATATTGCAGATTGTGTATTTTAAAGAATTGTTTTCTTAACACTCAACTTGAGAATTTACTTTGGTAGGACGTGAAAGATTTGATTCTTAAAATGACAGCTGTTAAGCGGTCTATTGACTACTGTATATGCAGAATTCTTGCCAAACAGTGGGCTGAAAGTACCACAAAAATTTTCCTGAGAGTAGACTGAACATCAGTGCATGTCTGCATCTCTGTGTTCCTGCTTTGTACCTGCTCGGAGAGGGAAGACTCATAGGTTTTCCTTCAGAATTATTTAACATGCATTCGGAATGTCTGAACTGTTCTTTTGCTCACTTTTGTTAGCCCAATCCTGGCTTGCCTGTGTGCAAGGAAGCATTGTAGCTACTTGGATGCTATTATCTCTTCAAGCCACAGCCTGCAGTGCTGATTGCTCATTCATAGCTCACCTGCAGAGGTGTATTTGCTCATTCTGCCCAGGTTGGTAATAACAAAACATTTCGGTGACAATTGAACTTCACAGCACTCTCAATCGGAGTAGCTGATGAATTGTTTTCTTTCTGAAGTGATTGATAACATAAGCTGCAGAGTCCTATAAGTGCCTCTTGTATTTCTTTAAATATCTGTAGCAAAACCAGAAGCTTACTAATGGATGTCAGGTACAAAATAGCCTGTTAAGGTGGGGTTTTGTGTTTTTTTTTGTTTGTTTGTTTGTTTTGTTTTGTTTGGTTTGGTTTTTTTTTTGTTTGTTTGTTTGTTTTGTTTTTTTTTTTGTTTTCCCCTGAAGTGGAATTGCTTCACTGTAGATGATGTGATGGCAGCAAACTTTTCAACTGTGCAATTCCAGATCGATGTGGTAAATCTCATGTTTGAAGCCAAGTAGTGTGGGGACATGGAGGACTCTTCTGAAACAAATGGTGGAGAAAGGCTTAGTCTAAAGTGTAGTTAAATGGACAGATGTGAGGGTGTAAGGGTTTTTTGGCTTTGTTTGCTCTTGGTAAACTGATTAAACATTTGTTTTAAAAGCAGCCAGTCTCAGTCTCAGGATTAGGCTTAATCATGATACGATTACCTGTGATGATGAGGTAGGCACCAGACTTGCCTACTCAGTGCTTATGCATTTGACTTAGATTTGTCATTTGTATGTAAATATGTCTTAAGCAAAACTCATGATCAGACACTTCATATGCTTCTGAGAAGCTGTAGAACCATGACAAACAAACAAACCCAAATCCAAAACAAAACCATCACCAAAGGCTGAAGCTGCAGAGTTAGTGACAGCACTGCTAACAGCGAACCTGTTACCTTTTTAACCTTCTCCTGGTGGAAACATCTCCAGCCCTGAGCTTCCCTGGCCATGTTTGGAGGTTGAGATGAAATCCATCTTTCAGTCCAGGCTTTTAGTTAATGATAAACTTCAGAATTTCAATGGTTGATTAATAGTCCTTGAAGATGATGAAAAGTCATCTGGGAATGCTGCAGCAAACACTTATATAATCCACATATATTCAAAACCCAAGGAATTGGTTTTCTGAGATGGTTTACTCTGCCTCTCATCTGTAGGATTATAGACTTTGGCTTGATAGCTGGTTTTGAGAGACTTGTCCTGAATTGAATATTCCTCCCTGCTTCCAGGTACTGCAGCCCCCGACACGTCATGTGCTGTCATCACAAAGAGGGAAAATTATCCAAGGCTTTTAGGTTTTGTTGGTTGAGAGGAGCATTACCTTTGGGGTTGGTCAGTGGCTGTGAGGCGGTGTTCCTTAATAATTTTTTTTTTTTCTTTTTGAAAGACCATCTGACTCTTCAGAACTGCGGGCTGCTTTGTGTTCTGCTTTTGTTTGGTGATTGGGACTGACAGGAGGAATCCTTGTAAAATAAGACAATTCATATTTAGGTGAAGCCATAATAAGCTATTTATAAAATCATAACATCTTTAAATTTTAGCATTACTGTTGGAAGTCTGAAATGCTAATTATGCCTGTAGGCTCCTGGATTTTAGCTGCCTGCAGGTGTTGGTAGTGGTCAGGAGCTCTTCATGGTTTTGCTGGTAACTTCCTGTGTTGCACAAGCCAAGTGTGGATGCAGAAATAAGGATAAGACTGTTCCAAGCACTATGTCCCCCAGTGGTGAATGGACTCTATGGAAACTTGTCTTTTTGTGATGTGCTGGGCGAGCAGTGGAATAGTAATCTGGTAAAAAGTCAGTGCTGTCCTTAAGAGGTGCAATGTGGGAGTGTCAGTTGACTTGCTGAAGCTAAACTCAAGAAGCAGTGCTAACCACAGAGTTGCAGAATGGTTGAGGTCGGACGGTACCTCGGGAGATTGTCTGCTCAGAGCAGGGTCAACTAGAGGAGATGGCTTTAGGACTGTGTCCCATTGGGTTTTGAGTATCTCCATGGATGGAGAGACTCCACACCTCTGGGAAACCTGTTCCAGTGTTCAATCACCCTTGCAATAAAGGGAGTTTTATGTTTAGAAGGAATTTATTGTATTTCAGATTGTGACCTCATTGTTTCAAAGGTGTGGATAGGTATGGAGTGACTGAGTAGGTGAATGAGTTAGCTGGGTTGGCCATGTAACTGGTTATTGAGGACCTGTAGAGCTGCAGGCGCCCATCGTATAAACAAGCACAGCCGTGACTTACCGTGGGATGCCTGTAGTTAATTTGTAAGAGGTATTTCTGATAATACGAGAAAGAAGGACCTGTGGGATCCTTGGGAAAGAAGATGAAAAGACAAGAGCCAGAGCAGTTTATTCAGCTAACAGCTCTTTGAAGTCAGCCTCTGAGGCCCGCAAGAAAAGATGAGGCAGAGTGTACTCTGGGGGACACATTGATCGTTTTAGTAGGTCAAATCTGACTCTGGCTTGCAGTTCTTCACTTCTTTTTTACAAAAGTGACACTTTCTTAAAGATGCAAACATTAGTGGTGTGTGGATTTTTTCCTCCTCAGGCAAAGTGGAGCAATGGGACAGGGTAAGAAGCACCAGCAGGACATCATTAGTCTTGTTCGGTTGGTGATTTTGAGTGCGAATGGTGAGGTTTCTCAGGACAGTGAGTTTCTCCTACACCTGTGACAGAAGCTTCCTGTGGATGTCCTAGGGAAATGTATAGAAAAGAGCCGCCAGTTGCAGAGTACATGTCTCTTCTTTCTGGTACTGGCAATGAAATAAATGTTATTGCTATGTCTTCCTTTCAGCATAATCGCATTGTACTCTTAGTATTGGGCCTTCTCTTAGGAGAGCTATTTCCTACCCTATAGTCCTCTTATTTCCCTACTCCTTCTACTCTGTTTCCTTTGTTTTGGGTTGAAACTCCGATCAGTACATATCCCTTGGTCTTAATCTTGTCTCCTCCAAGATATGAGCAACGCCAGCATCTCTCCTGCTTCCAGTCCTAGCATTCTACCTGTACCCAGTCCCATGGACATTTTCCAGGAGAAATTATGAATTAAAGCCCCATGATAATTTCTTAAGGTGTCAGTAAGAGTTTCACCATGTTATAATTTGAAAATTTCTAGAAGAATTTGTGATAAACGAGAAAAAAAAAAAAAAAAAAAAAGTCAACAACCAACTAGCCAGAAAAACTCTCCAGGCTTGATGGCAGCTACAGCAGGAGCCATTTGGGTGGGAGTATGGGGGTTGGCACATTAGCAAAAGGCGTTTTTCATGGAAGGCTACTTAGACAACCTCTTTTTAGTCATCCAGCTGTTCTCAGAATGAGCAGCCATTGCAGGTGGAGATGCTGCATGTGCTTTTGGCATATTTAAAGCACCTGGGATAGGCATACTGTGATATAAAGCAGTCTTTGTGATGCCCTGTAGAGTAGATATTTGCATAGATTAGAAATATAAATCTGCCTTTTATTTTCTGCTCACTCCTCAGAGGGGAGGCATCCTTTCAACCATTTATTTTTAAAAAAATAAGTCTTTGTACAGTGTCTAAAGTAAACAAGCTTGCTTTCACTGTGCTCTTGTTCCAAAAACAGAGAACCCACACACTCTTGTGGCTTTCTGAAAATGTGGGTGCGATGCTGCTTTCTGTACAAGTAACAGACAATCCATGGCTTTCTTCTTTC